CTAATTAGTGGCACTGGTCAGCGTATCCACTGTTAGCGTAACACACCCGCTTTAAGGACACTGACTGCTATTCAATCTATAACAGTGAAAAAAAGTTTTTTGTTTTTTAAATCAAAACTATTGTGACAGCAGATCTAATTAGTGGCACTTGTCAGCGTATCCACTGTTAGCGTAATAACACACCGCTTTAAGGACACTGACTGCTATTCAATCTATAACAGTAAAAAAGTTTTTGTTTTTAAATCAAGCTATTGTGACACCAGATGTAATTGGTGGCACTGACTGGGGAAATGGGCACAGTATGCACTGTAAGCATGACACAGAAGCTGGCAGCAGTGGCAGACAACTGACTGCTATTCAATCTATAACAGTGAAAAAAGTTTTTTGTTTTTAAATCCAAGCTATTGTGACACCAGATGTAATTGGTGGCACTGACTGGGGAAATGGGCACAGTATGCACTGTGAGCCTGACACAGAAGCTGGCAACAGTGGCAGACAACTGACTGCTATTCAATCTATAACAGTGAAAAAAGTTTTTTGTTTTTAAATCCAAGCTATTGTGACACCAGATGTAATTGGTGGCACTGACTGGGGAAATGGGCACTGTGAGCCTGACACAGAAGCTGGTAGCAGTGGCAGACAACTAAGTGCATTTACATTACATAGAAAAAAAAAATCCAAAAAAAGCATACCCTTATCCCTAACCTAGCTATGCTTTTCCCTATCTCATGAACAGCAGCTACACTTTCCCTCCTCTTACTAAGCATGCAGCTTGAGAATGAATCTAAAATGGATGCTGTCCAGTAGGTGGGAGCGTCTGCTAGGGAGCCTGTGCTGCTAATTGGCTGGAATGTGTCTGCTGACTGTGAGGTACAGGGTCAAAGTTTACTCAATGATGACGAATAGGGGGCGGGTCGAACCGCGCATATGTTCGCCCGCCGTGGCGAACGCGAACATGCTATGTTCGCCAGGAACCGTTCGCCTGCGAACCGTTCGGTACATCACTACTGCTAATATCTCTCCCTATACAACCAAGCATTCTGCTAGCATTTCCTGCTGCTCTATTACATTGTCTGCCTACCTTTAAGCCATCAGAAATAATCACCCCTAAATTCCTTGTAACGGATCACCTGGCACCCCGACTGGGTACCTCCGTTGAAGGATGCTCCTAGTGCTTCATGAGGGCTCCAAGCACTACAGCCGACACCATAACCACCATAGACTCCTTCAGAGAGCAAGACAGGAACAAGCTCTTACAAGAGCTCAGTGATTATAGCAAGGGAATATGCAGAGCATAGCAATCCTTTGTAGCAGATTTCCCCAATAAGAGACAGGAATCAGATTGAGGGTGAAGTAGAACTGAAGCTTTTAATCAAACACTCTGCTTTTATGCACATTTTACACACTTAGTACTGCCCACAGGGTTTTGCAGAACAACCAATCAATACGTGCAATACACTCAGACACTCCCACACAAAATCCTCCCCTCTGCCTGTGATAAAATTACTGAACACAATGGTATAACTTAATTATCACAGGCAGCAAAATACAGTTTTACACAATATTCACAACTCTAAAAGTATACATCACATTCACATAAACATTTTCAGAATCAACATACTCCAAATACAAACATACGTCAAAATCATACAAATTGGTCCAGTGGTTCAAAAGTTAGTTGAAAGTCCCTTTGTGACCATCTGCAAGCATGGCTTGGGTGTGGTAAGCCAATTACCTCCAGCATACAGAAAATGTCTCTATTCACAACAACAGTATTTTTTTTAGTATATTTCTGATTCATTTTTAAACAGTGTCAATGATTTTGGATTTTATATTTTTTATTCCCATAGAATATTTTTAATTCCCATAAACATTTTTGTAAATTTTTATTCTTATTTTTATTTTCATTCTTATTCTTATCTTTATTTTTATTTTATTTTTCATATATATTTTTTTACTTATATATTTTTTTATTATTATTATTTTTTTCCACAAATTTTTTTACCTTTTTATTTTTTACCTATTTTTATACTTATTTTTATTTTCATATATTTCTCTACATACGTTACAGATTCTATGTTCAGATCTATTTGATTAGTCTTACTCCCATATATGAATACACCCATAGTACTTTTGCCCATTTTGTTTTCCATATGAATACACCTACATTGGTACTTTGTATCCCATTTTATCTACTGTGCTGTTTTTTTACTGGTACTCCCATATTTAACATATTTTTATCTTTATTTTTATACTTTTTTACATATTCATTTTTATGCATTTTACTTCCACACTCTTAGAAATATATCCCTAGTCTATATATCTACATTTTTATTCACACGTATTTACACCCTTAAGTTCCATAAGATACTATTGATTGATGGATATACTAATGTATGTGCTCTTTCCTAGAATGGACCACCCACGAAATCATCAACCCACATGAATAATATTAATGATTCTTTCACTTGTTTTGGTACCAAGTATTAAACTATGTGTTAGTTCATGTCTATGTGTATATCACTTTAAGAATGCGAACAACTTTAATGAATTACATTCGACCCGATATCGTTCTATTTGGTTAGAATACTATTATATTTTATTTATAAAAAAAGTCTTATGTTCACCTCAGAAATATCTGCAACATATATTTACATTCTTCTTCTGAAGAACTAACCATATTTGTTTTAACCATTTATCATCATCAGAATACTCTAGTAGATGTGTGCCAATAATTGTGAATTGTTCAGATATTAGGATTAGTCAGATGTATGTACTTATCTACTAAACATCCATTTATTTGTTCTGTATTTGTAATTTATTGATGTTGAACATTACTAATTTATGCAGTGATATGTATGCATTTTTATCTGAGATTATTTTACATTGAATACTTGTATCACCATGACATATTGAAATACTTTTATTAGTAAACTAAAGGACTTGTATCAGCAATTAAAACATCTGTATATAAGGATAGACTGAAGCACCAGACCATATCCCGTCTCTGAAGAAGTAGGGCTCCACCTACGAAACGCGTTAGACAGACCAACAAGGCAGGATACAGATTGATTATACCAGCAGAAAGATCACTTTGCACAAAGATCCCTTGGAGAATACGTCCACCGAAATTGTCTTCTCTGTCTGTTACCCGGAGTGAGGTCTTGCTGGGACGCACATCCAGACGCACGCTGTCCTCACCGGCAGTTGCATTCAGGAGACGAATCGGCTTAACACAATCCACATCCATCCTAAGCCGGTCCGAGGGTTCACATTACCATCTGACTTTCAAAAGACTGGTAACATTATTACTAACTGTTCCTGACCTGTAGTTTTTGTTTTTATACATATTTAATTTTTATATTTAATAAACTGGTTTCTTTTACTTGATCCAGTTTTTTTGCAGTTTACTTCAGTCTACAGCGATACATCTATTGCTTTAAGCAAACAGTTCTATATACTGTGTTGCTATTTTGTTATTTTTCTAATACTGTTATCTTTGTTGATACTAAGTTTATCACTCAGTGGAAGTATCATTTACCCTGCACCTTCCAGGGAGAGAGACACCAACACAGTACAGTAATCCATTGCCAATCGATGTTACTCCATGCAATCTTTACTGATCCTTAACAAGGGGTAGGGTAATCACAATAAACATCAATCAATCATAGCATATATATATATTTAGTAGATTGGATTAGCCGTATTAGTCCAGTAGACATGATGCCAAAATATCAGAGTATTGCAGCATGCAATGCCAACGTTTTTAATGGACTAACATATTATTTCAAAGACATCTCTCTCTCTCTTTTTTATGCAATATATATATCGTTTTCTATATATATGATGCCAAAATATCAGAGTATTGCAGCATGCAATGCCAACGTTTTTAATGGACTAACATTATTTCAAAGACATCTCTCTCTCTCTTTTTTATGCAATATATATATCGTTTCTATTTTTTTCTTCATGGGCATATCTTAT